CCGTCTGCCCCCAACAAGACAGCGGCCGTCGCAGCAGCAGCAGCAAGAATAAGGAGAAATTCTCACTCTGCCTGGATGAGTGGGAGAGGTCCACTTGCAGTCCAGAGCGACAGGATGGTGGACTAAGGGTTTCCAGGGGAACGGAAGCGGATGCGTCGCTGTCAATGTTGGCACAAATTGTTTGTCACGCAGTGCAAATACTTCGTGCTGTTGCTCTGGTATGCGGTATTATGCGCGATTTATTTCTGTACAAGTGTGTGTGTGTGTGTGTGTGTGAAAGAAACAAGACACTGAAAATGAAAGAGATGGGCAGGGAAAAAGCAACAGCAACAGCAGCACAACAAGCACGCAGACAGGAGCGGAGCAACGGCAACATCAGACAAATTCCATGCCCCGCAGGCAACAGAACGAACCGAACAAATTTGATATTTGTTGATTTTTCCCATTTTCTTCATCATCTTCCAGCTCACCCGCTGACCGTTTGCCTCCCTCCCTCCCCTCCCTCCCCCTGCTGGTGCAGCTCTCAAATTTTCCTTTTACTTTGCAGCGCAATTAAAGCCATAACGAAATTGTGTAGTACGAATCCTTAAATGATAAATAATGTTTTTAAGCTGGCTAAAAGAATCTTTCAGCTTATTAACTCAACTTTTAGCTGTCTGCCTGGCACTCTGCCACTCCTGGCAGGCACCCCTTCCCTCATTCCCACCCCCCTTTTCACTAAAACTTTTAATGCATTTTTATGAAGTTTCAGTACCTGAAGATGGACGGACCAGACAAACACTCTTTATTTTTTGTGTTATTTTATTTACATTTTGCATTTTACGCTCCAAAGTTTGCCACCAAAGTAGTTTGATTGGCTTTGCTCACAAATTGCTAAATAATTGCCCAGGGACGTACATGGATGGTCGTACGCCGAGGGGATGAAAGAATGATGGGGAAACAAGTTAATTTCATTGAAAGTGATGCTCGTTTGTGGCCTGCTTTCACATTTCCTCCTCCCCTCTGTCAGGATGCAGATGGTGTTGAAAATATGCTGCTCTTGTTGCTTGTGTTGCTTCTGTTGCTGCTCGATCCATGGGTCGTTCATTAGAGTTTGCAGCAACAAAAGGAGGAGCACCCACGATGACAGCAAGTTTGTGTAATGTAATTAATTAATTACAGTGGAACAACGTAGTTACATGTTCGGTTATGGAAGGGATGGCCGGGTCTGGTAGGGCAACTTTTAGGTGCCTCACACAGGAACAGACACCGCCGCTGCTCCTGCTCCACGCCTGACCTTCTCGGTTTTATTAGCCAGAGCATGCCACAGCAATCCTTTGCTTTTCCCTTTCGCCTTTTCCGCCTGAAATTCCACTGGACAGGCAGACCCTCAGCGCCCCCCACAACCTGATAGCAGCGCATAGTTTCGTGTTTGCCAGGTAACTTAATTACAAATTATAGTGCAATTAATTCTGCGGCGTGGCATTATTAGGCGCATCAAATGAGTAACACAAAACCGCAGGAGAATGCTCCCGGAGAACGCCATTCCGCCGGAGCAACCACCACCCGAGGGTAAGTAGGAATGAAAATTAAATAGAATCCAGCCGCAAAGTGACCGCCGTGGCGACCATAACAATTGGATATCCGATTACCACCTGGACAGAACGGGACGAGACGAGCGAGACGAGACAGTGAGGTACGTTACGGAACGGTACGTGGCAATGAAAGTGCGAGATTCCTACGAGTAGTTATGTCCCAAGTGGATTAAGGCGACGAGAATCTTCAACGGCCACGTGTATGCTCGTAGCTATAACCTGATATGCGAATGTTATTGCTTGAGAATACACGTAGTTTAACAAGATTCGTTCAGCAATCAAACTGAAATGGAAAGTGTCTGTGGAAGGTGTCTTTAAAGTGAAAGTTTTCCAGTTCTTTGAGAACTTTTTGCACTCACTGAAGTGAGAGCACAGAGAGAACTAACTGAAGCAAAGTGATTCTGTTCAAAAGTGTCTCATAAATGGGCAAATGCAGTTAAGTATGCTCTGTACTTTGTATAAATTAGTTTTGTTACTTTTTTCCTACATATTGACTGGGACCAAACTTTTCCGCGATGGCAGTAATCTGGGCAGGTAATTTGATGTATTTTCAGATAAATTTATAATGAGATTAAAAAGCCTGCAACTTAAACTGAAACTATTAACGCAAGGAAACTATTCGGAAGTATGGAAAAACTGCCAGAGCCACTTTGACTTGATTATAATTATTCTGCGAGCTCAAAGCAAGTCCTTTATGAATATATAATTTAATTACATTTTTTACAATTATGTACAAGTTTATTTAAATTGGAATTCAAAGCAACCAGGAATCGTAATTCTCATAATAAAAATATATTTTCTATTATTTTCTAACAAATAAAAAAGAATTCCTTTTGATTTTCCATTTCAAATTTCTGTGAATCCTTTTCCCCTCAATATGTTCATCTCTTTTATGTACAGATCAATTGATTGAGTCCCTCAAGCCACTTGGATTTCCATTCAATGCCTCAATCCCTTTCAGCAAGATTTCTTCCTCAACGTGCGTGAATGCTGACCATTTGTAAAAAATTCTAAAAGGAAATTCCACACACGAGAACACGAGTTACAGTCAACACAATGGAAAGTATGCATGAAATCATTTTTTCTAGTCATATTTTCAGCGGAAAATAGAAAGGAATGCCCTCCTTCATTTAGCAATTCCAATTCCAAGCAAAAGACTCTCAAAGGGAGTCAAACAGCGCCAGCATGCCTGCTGCATATGAAAGGACACGGATATTACTTTGAACTGTCATTCGTTTCGTGCTTATTACATATATTCAATTATAATTCTTGACTTGGGCCCCCCGCCTGCGGGCAGGAGTATGCGAGTATTCTCAGGAATATTTCTTATCTGTGTAGCTATTGATATGAAAGAGTCTCTGCTGATAATATGTCTGCTGATTAGCTTAAGCTCTAATTTAGCTGTTGGCCATATTTGCCGCTGCCACACACTCGTAAAGGGCCAATTAAAATGTTGTGCTTGTAATCATGGCCCATAAGTATGGTTTTGTTTGGCTTCTGATTAACGGGGAGCAGCAGCATCCCATCACACATCGGGGGGGGAAGCAAGTATTCATTTGCTGCGAGGGTGGTTTGACAAGCCTTTTAGCACACTTTCACAAACACATCCAGGCCCCCGGGGGAGGCAGGCGGTGCGTGTGCGTGTGTGTGTGTGTGTGTGTGTGTGATTTGCATTAATGAGATGCAAATGATTTGTTTATTTCCTTTTGACGTCAGTCCTGTCAGCGTCCCTTTGTGGGCCATCTTTATTGAAAAGTTCTCACAGTCTCCACAGCGGAATGAATGAAATGAGCAAATAATAAGAAAATATTGATAGAGACGTTAATCAAAGGAAGACGGAGCTCCCGTGGCTCATATACGCGTACGCATAGGCGGTAGAGTGCGAGTACTTGCGACATAATAAATATGTATGATTCCCTTACCCATACCCATACCCAACCTTCTTGCTATAGCCCGTCTCTTGATGGGGTCTGGGTCTGGCCCCGCCTTCATGCTGCTACTCCGGCGGCTGTCAGGGCTGTCTGGGCGGGTACGCCTCCACTCCGTCATCGTCATCGTCCGCCAGGCCCCACTCCGTCTGAAGTCGCTCGGAGGAAGCACACACACACACGACACTGCACGACCCCGCTGTTTATTATTGTAAGATACTTGGCTTCACATCAGCGAACTGGAAGAAATGCGCAGTGACAGCACAACTTGAGGCACGAGGATGAACAGGAACAGAAGGAGCTGTATCTGGAGGTGGAGCTGTTGGTGGAGCTAGAGCTGAAGCTGGAACAGTCGATGTTCTGACAATTTGCATTGTTTTATTTACATATTTTTGCGTCAAACTTTTGGCGGATACGTACACACCCATACCCAATACCCATCGATGATGATGCCCTGGCATCCATAAAATCTATATATATCCATCCATAGCAGTATCTATCAGGCATCCATAGAAGTATCCATCAGGCAAGGACTGGAAGGAAATATGCAGATCAAGTCTCCGTCTCGTCTCACTGTTGATGGAGCATAATTTGTTTATGTTTCATTTAAATTAAATTGCCATCCTTCGGCCATAAACATTTATGCAAATCACTATCCATTTTCAGATGGATTTCGCCCGAGCCATGTTTCAGGCAAAATCGGGGACTAACAAGGGAATCTACTCTGGTACCTAATGTGGCTCGTCCAACTCCTACAGATCTGAGAATATATCAAATCGGCAGGATAGCACAGCAGATCGGACAAGATGTGGAGGAACGGTGGCCACGTTGGAAGGGCCTTTTCGGATTTCAGCTAATTGCATATCTCAGCTTCGTCATGTCATGGACATGTCGATGGATCGACAAACCCCAAGGACCAACAACAAAAACAACCCATCGCAACAGCCACTTCGCGTCAAAAGTTCACGAAAGCAAGGCAAAATTTCCAATGGAGTCGTTGCCGCAAATAAAATAACTTTTAGTTGTAATTCGTATATTTTTACACATTAAGAAATAACATTTTTAGCAATAGCAAATATGTAGTAATAGCTACTGGTGTAAGTTAAGTATTAATAGTCAAGAATTATACTCGTAAACCGTCCACGGGCATCGTCCCTGCTCAATTGCTTATTGCATAGTCCTAGGCCTATTGAATAGTCTCCAACACCCTCACACACTCATTGCACATCAGACAAATACAATCGTACTCGTATATACTCGTAAATATTTATGTAGATAGCCGCTGCTACAAATCCATTCGAACTTAGAAGGAAATGGGCAAAAAGTGTACAAATTACAAAGAAAATCTCTTCTCCTCTTTTTTTTTACTCAATTTTGATCTAATAAAGAATATTGAGAATTAATCAAACTTTCAAGGTCTTTTTTATTCATGAATATTCACAGTGTGGTTGTTGTAGGCGCCTCCCCATTCGAATGATGTTCAAACAAATAAACAAAATATTTTACAATTGACATTTAATGAAATTCAGGAAAAAAATTGCTCAAAATAAGCATCAGGGGCCGGAAAGGTTTGCGCTCAGTCCGCCCGTCCGTCCGTCCGTTGGGGCATGCGGTGCGGCCTGGAGGGATCCTGGGATCCCTGGGTTCGCTGGTAGATGGGGTGTCGAAAAATTAATTAAAAATTGCCAGCGAATTTTTTCTCGATAAAAGCAGCCGACAGAAGGTTGGCGAAAAGTTAAGTCTACATAGCGACTAGCTTGCGTGTGGCTGTGTGTGTGTGTGCATGAGCTTGGTTGTGTTTGTGTGGCTAGGTGCTTGTGTATACATTCGTGCATGTACATATGTATGTATGAAATTTATGTATGGGTGTGGAAACCCTTTCTATTGGCCTAATTAAAAAGCATACAAGTTTCGTAACTTCCTTCCTTCCCCCTGCCCCCCCTTAATAACACAGTTTGCCTGCAGTCGCTGCAGTCGTGGCAGCAGCAGCATCAGTCAACCTTTGAGTTCTGTCTAGTTCACACACGCTCTCACACCCACAACCAATCAACATCCTCATATCCACTCCTCCTTCCCCACCCCCTTCCATTCACACACACACACGGGGATAGAACAGATAAGGTAGGGCGGGCGGTTGGGCAGTGAGTCGTGGCTGTTCTCCAGACATAAGTACACCAGACAAATTATCTACAAATTTACTATCTCTTTTATGTATAACATCTTGTTATGCGGTTAGTTATGTCGGGGGAAGGGGTGGTGCTTAAATGGGGTAGGGGGGGTAGTGGTGCAGGGTGGCCCAGTGGCGCCCGGGGGGAGGCTGGGGCCTGGCCATTAATGCGTTGCTTATTCTGCTGCTGATGTTGCTGCTGTTGCTGCTGTTGTCACTTGGTTTGATGTATGTTGTGGAGTTTTCATTAGCTGCTGATGGTCCTTCTGCTCCTGCTCCTGCTCCTGCTCCTCCCTCTTTGCCTTGTGGTTTGCTCCAGCATTGAGTTGGCAATTTGCTGTTGACGTTGGGCTGTCGCCTCCTATAAAATCAACTGTTTGCCTGTCATCCATCATTGGCCAGGCTGCTGCTGCTGTTGCTGCTTCTGCTGCTGCTGCTGCTCCTATTCCTCCTGCCCCATCGTCTGTAGATTCTTTTGACATGGCAGCTGCTGATGTTGTTGCTACTTCTGCTGCCGTCGCGGCCTCGTCCGGCTTGTTATTCTCCTGCTGGTCATTCATAATAGCATGAGCTTCTAGTGGACAGCTTTGCTTTTCACCTGATGCCGCTGCTGTCAGTCCCCCCCGTTCTGCGTTCAGAAACTCTGGCAAATTATTTTCTAATTGCTTTGCCTTTGGCTGGGACAGCGATTGGGACACAGAGTGGACGTGGATGTGGGTTTCGATCCCGGTCTCGGCCCCATTTCCTGCTCCCGTCCGGGTCGTAAGCTGCTGATTTGGTTCTTGAGTGGCAGCCGCTCCCACTACTCGTTTTGCAGTAGTTTCATCCGACACATTTATAATATCCGCCGCAACGGAATTTGGATTTTCCAGCGCCTTGGACACGCCGGGCTTTTGTCCGCCCCCACCAGTTTCAGCGCCTTCCTGTGTCTGTGGAGCCAGCGATTGCGATTCGCCCTCCTCCTGCCTGCCGTTTCCTTGGGCTGCTGCATCATTTATGCCTGCTGTTGGCTCCTTGCGTCCCTGATTCGTTTCGACATCTGGAATATGCAAGGAATTCGAGGGCAAAGTGAAAATAAAACAGGAAATGACAAGCCAAACATTTACAGTGAATACTTTTCGACGGAATTGAGAAATAATTTCATGCATATTACGATTATTGTACACAGACGGACTCACAGCAAAGAGCAGAGGGATCCGCTGAAACGGAAGAAGCAAACGGACGGACAGAGGAGCGTTTGGTGCTGGCCAGGTTGAAATGAGGCGATATTAAATATGCTTCATGTTTGAGTAGTCTGCCCCCGAGAGGAGCAGCTACTCGATGGCATTTATTGCCATTGAATCTGTTATTTCTTATACAGACACACACACAATTACACACACGTACACACACGTACACACACAGTACATTTTTTTGCCCGTTTGTCGAGTGGAGCTCAAATTTAGATTTATCTTCCAAACGATTTCACACACAGCCAGAAAGGGCTTCATGGCAACGGACACAGTGTGCAGTGCCCGCCACACACACGCAAAAAAACGAATGCAGAGACAGTTGGCATGAGGAACTATTCGAAGAAGAGATATTCTTTCTATCCAAAAACATATACCCAAGATGGAAAGCTGTTGCTTTTGGCTTGTATATTCATTGCAAAGCAAAGAAAAGGAAAGAAAAGAAAAGGGAACCTAATTCTCTGCTATGAAAGCATGCCAAAATAAAGCATTCGACAGGGAATGGTTTTCCTATTTTCGGTAAAAGATAATCGCCTTTGAATGACGTTGCAGTTGAAAATGTGAATGGAATTATTTTAAACTGAGTTTTGCTCCTGAATCACGCATCGCGCTTCGGATCTCGCTGGGGCTTAGGCCCATTGAAAGGGTATACAAATGCGAGCTGCAAAAGTTACGAGTTTAAGCCTCGAGTGTGGGCAAAGTCAATGAAGTGTGCCGATCCCACTCAATTAGGGCCGAGGGGTATGTCGCCAAAAAAGCTCACCTGCTGATGTGGAAGATGCCCCTGCGTTGGAGGTTGCTGCTGGTCCTGCACCGGCTTCTGCTTCTGTGGTGCTGCTGTTGGTAGTTTCTCTCGGCTGGCCACCATCCGCTAATTCAGCTGCTACGGCTGCTGCTGCCCTCTGGTTTGCGGCGGCGGCGGCAGCAGCAATGGCTTGCACCTGATTGCGCAATTCGGGTATGTCGGCCATATTAACCCGCTGCAAGAGGACATGCATCATTCGGCCGTTGGCACCGTGGCCGAGAAAGACACGCCGCACGGTGGGAAACTGGTCGCGACGCTGCAACAACTGCCCAACCAAGGGCAGGCGTCTCAAATTGGCCAATGCAACGGCCATGGCAGCCGTGCCGTTGTTAGCTACCGCCCCCGCTGGCGGCATCTGGGGCTCGTCGGGTCTTGGCTGCTGCTGCTGCTGACGTTGCTGACGCTGAGCGCCCAGTTGGCTGAACAGACGATTCATAATGTGGATAACACGTTGAAAGGCCGCCTGCTGTTCCACGGGTACAGGCACGATTCTGGCTGCCGCCACTCCTCCGCCTACTCCTGCTGCTGCTGCTGCTGCTCCTGCTGCTGCACCTCCGGCAGCAGCCCCCGGATTCACCTGGTTGCGTGTGATTATGAAGACCTGATGCTGTGCCATGATGGCAGGCAGCTCATACCGATGGAAGAAGAACACCATCGAGTGCTGCAAAGGCAAGAGAGAGGGACAGATTTAGTATGTGCCCTGACGGAAGCGGTTATGCGATGATGCTATGGGGGGCCATGGGGCCATGGATCCATCCTTTCATTCAGTCGTTCAGTCAGTCGCTCCTCCTGGCACGTGTGCTGGCTCCGGCATACACGTGAGTCGGCAAGGGGAAACAATACGACAATGGGTAATTTGTCATGCACTTGACAGGCGTAAACTTTCCCCTGGAGCTGGCGTGGCTGGTGGCTGGCGGCATCCCCGTCATCCCAGGCGTTGCATAACGCATTCATTATGCGTCATACCTGTGGCTACGTTACCCACCTGAATGAAGAGATACGAGGAGAGCAGTGCCAGGGTCCTGTACTGTCCACTGAACCGGTAGTGATACGCATAGAATGCGAAATGATACAGATAGAAGAACCTGCAAAGGCATTCAACAAAAACATAAATGTAAATGTAGTATTCGGGGTAGGATTCAAAAGGATTTTAGCTTAAATTCAGGCGGGGAATGTGGCAGAGCAAAAAGATTGCTTGGGATATTCTCCATAAGATTTCTCGCAAATCACTTACGTGATTTTCCGATTCGTTAAAGTTACATGAAATGATTTGTAATATTATATCTAAAATTCTGCTGTTGCTGCTACTTGGCCTAAGAGTGTTGCCCCATTGCCCCACCACCACCACCCACCAAAATGTTGTCATCCATTTAGCGCCTTCGAACACCAATCCAAGAAGATATATGTGTGGTCGTATATACACCGCATACTATGTACATATATCCATTGAAAAGAAGCTAAAATTCAAACCCTCATCAACCTTCAGCGATCGGAACGGGTCTGATGGGTCTCAGGGCTTGATGGGCTGATGGCTATGGGGGGTGTTCGGTGTTGGTTGTGTTGGTTGTAAGCGACAATAATGATTACCATTCGATAATATTGTATTTAGCTGACAGAAATACTAAAAAGCGAAAACATATTGGTTTCACTGTTTCTATTTTTCTTGTTTTTCCCCCTCCCTCTACCACTCAGTGTAGGTTTTCCGCTGTTGTTGCTGCTCCTTCGAGAGCTCCTTTCCGTGTTGCTGTGCCGAAAATAAGCCATGAAGAAATGGGTCAGACATATGGTAGAGTGGGAGGGAGGGAGGTATGGCTAGAGTGTAACAAGCAACAGTCGCTGAGGCGGACAAATATCCAGGAAGGCCGACTGTCAAGACAACAGCGAAGGCAACAATGGCCACAGGAAGGAAGGGCGGAAGGGCGGAAGGACGGAAGGAGTGAGGGTAGAAAAACACTCAAGAGGATTTAATAATATAAATAATTGCTGGCGCTGTTAGTTGAATTGTTGTTCACCAAAGACAACAAATAAAAAACACAATGGATGGCCATAGCAACAACAACATCCAACAGAGTCGGCAATAATGACAACGAAGACTCCCATGCCATTCCACTCATTGATAAGCAATGTCCAAGCGTATGACAGGACAGACGGATAGAGCCCTGACAACAGGACCTTTGGCCCTGCCGGCGTGTCCAGCGGAATTCGACTTTAATTTATTTTTACAACGATTCTCGAAGATGGTAGCTCGGGGGGCTAGGTGGGGGCATGTGGGCATGGCCATGATTGAGTTATGTTATTGAATTTAATTTGAGTTGATTGTGTGCACACACACACTAATACACTAATACACTGATACACCACAAGCCCCGCACTAATACCAAATGCCAAATACCAACACAGGCAAACCCAGCAGAAACCCAGCAAAAACCATCAATATCCACGAGCGACAAATGAAGACACACGACTCTTAGCCTTTCCAGGGCATTGCGCAACCCGGGAACCATTGAGGACTTGTGGAGCATTATGGACACATCCACAGCCAAGCCAAGCGAAGAGCTTCCCAGCAATTTCCTCAATTTCCACCCCACCCGAACAAACACACCCATATCCACCACACACACAAACACACACACACATGCACGTAAGCAGGAGGAAGTGCGAGCAGCAGACACGTAGACAACACTTATCGCTTGTTCGTTTCCGTTTCATTCGCTTTCCTAATGTACCGTAGCGTTGACAAGCAGGCAACGCCTTGCCTTGCCATGCCTTGCCCCCTTCTAACCCTTCTAACTTTAATCCTGGCTGCCTTTCCATTGCTCCAGTCCCTGCTCCCTGCTCCAGTCTCCCTTGCCTTCATAGCCTGCAGCTTCACAGTGGCCAGAGAGTGCAGCAAAAGTGAGCAACGGCATTCTGATTCGGAATGCACTGAGGTTACAAGAGGCCGCCAGACGAAATGACCTTTACACACACACACATATATGCATATATAATCTTTCGTTTCTAGTACTTCAGATAGCCTAAGTTCAAGCTACAATCTACAACTTTCGGTGGAGCTCTCTTAGCTTTAATCAGTTTTAAGGTCACTTTGAACCACTGTACGTGGACGTGTCGGGACGGATGTGAGCCACGCAAATACTGTCGGCATTCATATCATTCGACCCGAGCGGAAATGGGTTGGCCAGGAGGGGGAGGGGGAGTGGGGGTAAATGGCGTGTGGCAGTGGGGACAACTGTTGCATGTGTCTAGTTAAATAAGCACCAGCAGCTCCAGCACCGGCACTTGCCCTCCAACCCCGAGTTCCGTTCAGCTCTTCTCACACTTGCCAGCAATTGTTAAGTGTTGCTGCTGCTCCTGCTTTTGGTGCTGCTGTTGGGGGGGTGTTGCTGGCTTTGATGATGATCCGATCTGCGTCATAAGTGTTTATTTGTTGCAAGCAAACAGCAGACGGATTAAAGCTGTGGGGCAACCTACCTACAACCTGCACGCGATACGTAATAGTTTTGGTGTTCAATGAGCTTGTACATACTGATGCTGCTGCTGCTGCTGCTCCTGCTCCTCTATGATGCTTTTAATGGCATTTGCATATTGAATTGCATATCGGGATAAATGTATCCGAGTGTCGTGTGTCGTGTGCCGTGTGCCGTTTTCGTTTAATCCAAGAGATTGAATGGAATAAAAACTGCATTTACCCCGCATCTATGCCCTTGATGCAAAGAGATTCCTTCCTCTGCAAAGGCTTGTTGCATTGAAATTTAATAAGCTTCATCATGAAAGGGATACGCCAAGTATTTTTACTTTCCTTGCTTATTACTCTTTGCGTGCAAGCGTTGCAAGTTGTATTTAATTTGCATGGGTGGCTGATATGCTATCAGACTTTCGTTGGAATTGTTTTTCATAATATGAGCAGCATAAATGGAGCAAGATACAGGCTTAACGATGCACTCATTTGATCTGTTCAACTTTACCCGTAATTCAACACCCAGAAAAAAAAACTGCAAGCTAAAATCGTATGTGAATGCAGCTGCCACTTATAAAAAAATTAATTGGAATATCACAAAAACTTAAATACTATTTGCTGGCAGAACAAACAAAACACACATCATATGTACATTGATGGCCCAAATGCCCTGCCCTGCCCTGTCCTGCATATGTAATCCCCTGCCTGCTGCTGTTAAAGGCGTGAAAACGACCCATTTTTGTGCATAAATTGGAACAGAATTGGCGCATATGCAAACAGTGGCCTACAGCTGGGCCTGTCGATGGATGAGCGAGCGTGTATGAAGGCACGTTGCGCATACGCCATGTTAGCAAACGAAATAAACACAGGCAGAAAGAGGAACTGAAACTGAAACAGAAGCAAGCAAACAAAACAAGGAGTATATCCCATACATACATACGTATATATATTTATAACAATGAAGCGATTCCGCCTCGTTATGGAACACTCATCAACTGCACCTTTGAAAAACACCCCACCCCCCACTACAGCCATAGAGAGAGAGAGAGAGAGACCTGAAGAGGCTTCCTCCTTTTTGAGCCACTTCTGGCAATGCGGGGGCAGGTAGGTAGGTAGCGCGGCGGTTGGACAAAAGTTATGGCAGAAAAACAAACTTGACGCAATTATACTTTGCGTAACATGATCTCAATCAACACGAAAACGGGCAGAGCAGAGCAGAGCAGGGCAGGCAGAGCTTAGCCCCCGACCAGAACCCCTTCACCATGGCTGCCAATGCCGTTGACGTTCGAGGCCAACAGCGACGACACCGGTGGCCACCTTTGAGACCGAGACTCGGGGCCCAGGACACAGTACCCAGGACCAGGCAACAGTAACAATAGCCAGCAATAGCAGCCCCAAAGAGCATTCCATATATACGTAATACGTATACGTATATATCGCATATTGTATGGCCCTGTATAGGTGTGCCTCGGTGAGAGTGTTTGTTAGCGTAACAAGCGTGTAAACAACAGGGCGGCCAGGCGTAAGCGGAGAAGGTTGGCAGGAGCCACTCGAAACGCGCTACTGTAACCGACCTCAAACCCTTCCTCCATCAACCATCAGTCAGTCAGTCCAGCCTGCCAGCCAGCCAGCCAGCCAGCCACCCAGTGCCACCCCTTTGCAGCCCTTGCCTGCCGACAGCATTTGCTCTTTGATGCCGCAGTGGCAATGTCTTGGTGCTGCTCCTGGCCCTACCTACTTATGCTCCTGCTTCCAGCTTGCAGCTTCCTACTTCAACTTCAGCTTTTCGACGCGACAAACAATCTGCGCAAGACTCAATTCGGATTCATAGCCAGCAGGCAATGGCAAAGGCACGGGGCAGAGGCAGAGGCACGAGCAACGGTACGGGCCATGGCACGGGCAACGGCACGGGCAAAAGGAAAAGTCAAGGAAGGGAGGGAGGGAGGTAGGAGGACAGTCGAGTAGGGCAGTCACTGGGAGTCAGGTGTTTTCTTTTAGCTTTTCCTATGCGTTTGCAGCTCATTTAATACGTGTCGTCTGCCCCGTGCCTGGCAACCAGATTTAAGCACAAAAGAAGCATTACGCGCCGCAAGAAGCCGCAGGGCGAAAGTAAAACGAGAAAATTGACAGAAAGGGGTTGTTGGATGGGGCTTATTATATGTATATGTACATATATAGTATACTCGTATATGTACTATAGCCCACTGTCTGTTTGTATTTAGGGGGAATGACGGCTCCAACTCTCGCTCGTTAAACGGCGATTAAGCAGAGCCCCCCCCGCCCAACCGAACGGCCTCTCCTTTGATGACTTTAAAGTCTCTTAAAAGTCAATTAGAGCGAATAGAGCGACGCCGGCAATTGACAGTGGGTGGCGCAGAGATGGCGAAGATGGAGTTTCGGGCGGGCTCAAGTTCAGGAGGCACTCTGGATGGTTCAGAAAGTGTAAGTTGGCCACTTGACAGTTTTAAGCTGCCATCAGCCATACGCCATTTGGCATTTTCAGTGCCACCCGTTTGCCATTTTGCCATTTTCGCATTTACCATTTGAAATTTGCACTCTGCAATTCACATTGATTGCAACTTTTAGCAAAAGTTTAAGTACACAAATTAGTCTATGCAATGAAATTAATACCGGTTGGTGGTCGCTGCGAGGCCTGTGAGGTCTGTGGGGTATGTGGGGTCTGCGAGGGGGATACTCGCTGTGATACTCGTAGCTAAAAAGCAGAAAAACGCCGCCAGGATGTTTGTCTTTTATGCTAACTTCAATGCCAGCCGGCTCGACTGGGATCCCAGACCAACTTTACCACAAAAACAGGCGGGCAAATACGGAAGCAAGCAGAAGAGGGAGCACGGCCAGGGGCTACCGGCAGGAAGGAAGTCAGGAAGGAAGCACGAGAGCAAGCAATCCCGTCCCTGTAACCCATAACCGCAGGACCAACAACAGCCGAGGCAGCACCAGAAGTAGCAGCAGCAGCAAGTAAAAGCAGTCACGGAAACCCCTTCAACTGCTCCGGGCAGTCAATAACAGCAAAATTAAACCATACGAAAGCACACATATGTACATATGTACGAGTATGTGCATATGTATGTACATACTCGTGCGTGGGAGTACACTGCACAGGCACAGGCACAGGTCCACGTCCCCCACAGACGGACGGATATACTACTATGTTGGCTATGTTTGCATCGTTTCTACCATCTACCATATGTTTCGACTTTTCACGAAATTAATTTTACTTAAAGCACATGACCCCCAAGGGGCCATAGAGGAAGTCTCAGCCCCGGCCCCAGTCTCAGTCTCAGTCCACGTTGCTGTCTAAGGTCTTCCTTAGATTGAATATTGTTTGCCATTTGAATTGCATAAAAAGGATTTCGGATGCCACAGACTGCAGTTGTATATCAGTTTCATGCAAAAGTTTTCTCTCTCTCGAAAAGTTTGACAATCTATGGGAGCAAACGATGAGTTATGGGGGAACTACAAACGCCCATGGGGAGCACACAAAATAGATACTTTCTTATGGCCAGAAGCAATCGGAGATTATTAGGGAAACCACATAAACATCAGGTAAGCAATCATCTGTCAGGGACATCTACATACTATGAACTTCTGCAATCACTATAGCTGTGCGGTTTCCAATGTTATGAATTACTAATTTCAGATCTAGTTTCTGCCGTAATTGATTACGATTAAATGTACATTGTTGTGGGGCTTTTGCCTGTCCCTGGCAATGCCAGTCAAAGCTCAAAATAAACAAGGCGAGGGCGCTTTTAAAATCATTCGCGCCAATGAATCTTTAATGGATATACGTGAATAGGACAAGTGGTCGCTGAGGAGCCCACACCGACAGGCCTCTTCTTGGCCATGGCCAAACACTGATAGCCTTTTAATTCAGCGCAAATTACGCAAAATCAACACCAGAAGGCGGCAGGGCGGCCACTGATTGAGGAGAGGGGTGCATGCGCATGAATTCATAATCAAGAGCCGCTTCTGGGCATCGCAGCCACACAGACTTTGGGTCCCCGAATAAAAGGGAATTTTCAAGTGTCTTTTTGAATTATTGATGGTCCGTCCACCCGTCTGTCCGACAGTCGTCGCTCAGCGCATAGTGGAAATTGATGCCCAGCCCCGCGTCCAAGCTTCCGTCCATAAGTTGCCAAAAAAAAATAAGCATTTTGTGGACGCGGCCGCTCTCAATTATGCAAAGTGCGCGTAATAAACCGCAAAGTAGCCTGCCCTGGAGTAGGAGGCGGTGGAGGGGATGGATGGGGTTGTCCGCTGTCCGCTGCTGACGTGCGTGGTCATTAATGTTGATCGAACCCGGGGAAATGTGAAGTTCTAAATTTCTACCACTTTTTTTTCGTGCCACTTACTCGTGCTCGTATTCCCCTTTTTGTTGTGAAGAAGCGAGTTTATTTAAATGTTTGCTAATGGCGAGGCTCGCTGGGGTATGGTATGCTACTACTACTGCTGTATAGACTATATAGGGGGTACGGCGTACACCCGTATTGTGGCACGAGTGGAGGCGAGTGGGTGGCGAGCGGGGTGGGTGGTGCCTTGGGTTACGCTTGTTGACTTAAGTGATGAAAATTCTCTGTTTGCTGGTGTCTACTATGTGTCTGTGTGTAGGTCGGTTGGGCGGTCGGTCGGTCGGTTCAGGGATCCCATGCCTCCCCATTTCCGAAAGGGGATGGGTGGGTACTGGTCGATTTGTTCTGGCCCCGAGGGAGGCTTGCGCAAGCCAAGTTAATTTTCAAATAACAACCGAGACGAGAGTAGATGGACACGGGACAGAACAGGACCAGGATAGGGAAAGGAGTGTAAAACACGCCGCATCCCAGGTCGTAGAAAGAAAATATGCGAAGCAAACGAAATGAACTGTTAAGTGCTGATGATGATGTGGGTGGTGGTGGTGGTGGTGGAGGATAGAAATGACCGAGACGATGCTGGGTTGTACCTATTATCTATGGCCGGATAGAAGGAGCAGAAAAACCAGCAGCACCAGCAGCAACAGCATCATGGATGCTGGAAAGGATTGCAGACTTAATGTAATTGAATTTGTCATTCACCCAAGGCACACGGGCAATTGCACAAGAGAGAAGTCAAGCACAGATTCAGAGGGGACAGGGGACAGGGGACAGACACAGTGCACAGGGAAGTTGCCAAATCAGTACACACCTGAGCCAATGACGCTTGGTGATGCTGGTGTGGCAGCATATGGCATCGTATTGATCCGCAATCCACACAATCAGTATGATGTAAAAGGCCGTTGTAGTGTCATTAAAGAACTCCGACATGATGGCCTCCATTCCTGCAACGAAACGGTCACGCACATCAGGTTAAATGTCAAATCACATTAACATCGCATTTCTGTATAGCCACACCTACGAGCGCCAGGATTACGGTCAGGAGCGGAGCAATGGGGAACCTAGCAGACACATTGTACTCCAGCATTTGCAGCAGATCCACTGGGAAAAGGAAACGGAATGTCATCAATATCAAATAACTTAATTTTCTCACTAGAATATTTACCTATAAAAACAAAGATCTGATGATGCGAGTACCGAAGGAGCATGGACACGGAGAACGTCTAAAAAGATGGATACAAATGTTAGCCCGAGAGTCTAGCCAAAACTTCGTATTACTCTCGAATGCTTACAAACAATAGCATCACAGAAAAGGCAGCCGGATAGCTGCTCCAGGCAGCCCACCACATGGACACAAAGCGATAGTGCTCGCCAGTGATCACATTACGCAAATAGCCCTTGTTCTCCTCCTTCTCTGCTATTGTGCGCACCGCGGCCATCAGTAAGTCATCGTAGCTGCAATAGAATTGTGAAAAATTAGTAAATAATTGCTTAAAAGCTCGTTTAGGGCTCACCCTAGTAGACGCTTGAGCAAGTAGCGCGTTAATCTATCGCCGAAGCATTCGTTTGTGTTGGGATCCAATTGCACTGTGAGCACGGGTATTTGCAGCCGCTTGCGGGTGGCCGATGAGAGGCGCAGGTGTCCATATTCTAGCGAATACTCGACAATGTATTGCTCATCTGCGGGGCAAAAGGCCACATTTGCTGAGATTGTTCCAATATAATTTAATTTCAGATTGCTCACCATCGTCGTCTTCGTTTTTGAGCTGTATGGCATTGGGGTGATCGTAGGTGTCTAGTATGTTGATGGCATCGAAGTAATAGTACAGAGTCTCGTTGCTATAGGCAATGGTCGGGCGAACGGGCAAGCCCAGCTTGCGCAGGATCGCCTCATAGCGCTTGAGTCTATTGTAGTTGTCCAGCGTCTGAGGGCCCTCGTCATAGTAGCTGCAACAGAAAGCGTTTGCTTATATACAACTGATTTGGGTACCTTGTAGCATGTTCTTACTAAGAATCTTTAAGGGAGCGAACCACCTGCTGATCCTGCTTGATGCTCTGCCAAATGGCTCGCTTCTCCGCCAGATGGGGAATAATCTCCACTCTGCAAATAAGTAAAATGTTAGCAAGGCAGAGAGTTTAAGGGCATGGTGCTTTTAGGGCTTGCCTGATGACACCTTCTCGCGGCCAGTTCTGCACCTCCTGCAGACAGGTGCAGGGATTCTTGATGAAGGCATGATGCACATAGACGAGGGTGAAGAAGAACACCAGCGCTTTGGCCAGCAGCAAGAACTCGATGGTTAGCTGAACCTTCCTGCAAAAACACCATAGGAATCAGCATAGATAAGTATACAGGGGTGCACCCATGCTCGTCGATAGCCAGATAAGGGGCAATGACTCTTACCGTGGCACCAACTCTGCATACGCGGCCGCCGCACGAAAGTAGATCGCATGGAATAGCCGATCCCGCATGTTCATCATATTGTTCTAGAATTATAACAGCGAAAGTTCATAGATAAGCGTTTTTGTTTTCTCTGTAAAGTACTTCGTGTGCATGTGTAAAAAGTACCTGTCCAGCTCCGCCCCCTAGGCCGCGATTACGCGCGTTGGCGTTCCCATTCCCATTGCCATTTCCATTTACATTCGGGTTACCGTTGATGTTATTGATTTCATTGGCAACGGCGATTTCGGCTGCGTTCTCGGGCAGCACCGCGGCCATGGCTCCTCAGGGTCTGATCTTGAGAGTGGGGTCGAGTGTTAAGAGTAACTTCCGTGTCTTGTCCGGGCCGTGGCTTCCGCAATCTTTGATTTGGGGCCGAAAATAACTCCGCTCTGTTGTGGTTGTTGTTTCTTGTGTTGTTGTGTTTTCTGCTCGGCTTAATTTTTCTTTTGCGTGTTGTGCCTCATCGTTTGCGACATCGTCACTGCCCCAGGCAATCCCCCTGCTGTCATATTGAAGTGGGTGATCCCAAAACCGTTAATTATTATTATAATTTACAGATAAATTAAAAGAAAAACACCTACCATTATTATTGTGAATTAGGGATGGGATGTTAAATTCAATCGTTGATAATTTATTTGTAGTCGATATATTTTTGCGATAACGGCTCAATTTGTCAGGGCTGGTGTGACCAGTCGCTCGCTAAGTGAATGATTCCAAGGTTCGCTCTTCCGAAGGAAACCAGTTCAGTTCCAACAATTGCGCGCTCAAGAGCGAAATTTAAATATCAGAAATAGCAGAAATAAAATGCCATGTAGAGTCGCTTTTTATTTTTATTTTCTGCAAACCAATGTACGAAATTAAATATCTCGATGCTTCGATCTCCACTCCTTCATATAAATAAGCTACATTGAATGTCGTTTAATTTAGTTTTACATTGATTGGTGGTTGTGATTTCTTTATTCATGTTACGCATTTGTTTTCTCTATAGTTCTCATAGTCATATATATAGTTACGCATATGTATTATGATGTGTGTATAACTACATACGTGGGATGTTATCCCATTAAGCTACAAAATCATACTCATAAGATGAGAATGCAAACGATTTCTCTGCTCTCTGCTCTCTGCCCACTGCTTTCGTTTTCGTTTTCGCTTTAATTTTATTTTTATTACTTTACGTTACTTTGTTTCGTTCTCCCCCTCTTTGCGCACACTTACAAATGTTTCTTTCAACAGGCTATTCGGATTGGATAAGTTGTTTTTCTCGCATTTTTTTTTGCTAAAAATTTCGCTATGGGATTGTTAAGTTGCTGTTTTCGTTTCTTACTCTTTTGTTTGGTTTTCTTTTTAGCTAGTTTTTTCGTTTTTTTTTTTTTTTTTGTTTTAGTTTTTTGTTCTGTTGTTATATTGTTTGTTGTATGGTAGTATAAATTGTTAAAAATCGCTCACATATTTCAATTCTGTTCTGGTTCAGCGTGTGTCTGTGTGTGCTAAAGTGTTTATTTTGGTGTTGTTACGTATGGCTTAAGATTCTTTGGTTTGGTGTTTCTTACGATTGGTTGTGTGTATATGTGTGTGTGTGTGTGTGTGTTGTGTGTGTGTGCCGACTTATATACTAATACACGCTACACATTATTAACTTACCATTTAATATGTTCCTCTACTACTCCACTCTTTGATTCGTTCGGGGTTTGACAGGACCTTCCAAGAAGCGCCAAAATACATAGTACAGAATGTACAGTTATACAGTTCATAGTTTTTGTTTGTTTGTTTGTTTGTTTAGGTACAGCAATGCGAAAAACGAAAGTGTTGCCAAAATGCATTTGCATGTGTGTGTGTGTGTGTGTTTACAGCAGTATGTGTGGTGTTTGTGTGTGTGTCTGTGTGTAGTACAAAAAAGATGGCAGCTCTGCATGTAAAGCGTAACGGTTCAACACACTAAAGTATCGCTATCGATATTCGTTAATCGTAATTGTTAATCGTTCCTTAAATGGACTTCCGGCATGATCGTGCACTTCGATTCTCCCTCCGCACACACGACGAGACACGTCTCATACATACATATATCATATTCTATATGATTTACACTCCATTCGATATAAATCTTCCCCTTTGCTAAAGTTATATATAAACTATTCCATTCTGAAGTATTGACAGTCACAGGCTCTATACGAAGCATGCATGCCCTTTGTTTTTGGTTTTCTTTTTTTTTTTTTTGGTATTTCTTTCGCTCATTAAATATATATATATCTTTATATATATATATGTATATGTATATGTATGTATGCTATTGTATATATACTCAATACGTTTGTATATAATATGTATGTAGTATGTTTTCCACTCTAGATTTAGTTTCGATACTCCTTATCTTCCATCTCCACTCCACTCCTCTCCTCACCACTCATCTCCTTTCCTCTTGGTGTAAAAAAATGCTCTTCCCTTCAACCTCAACCTCAGCGTCTACCCTTCTGTTTTGTTTTTTAAAAGCGTATTTTTGTACAAACACAAATCGACAAAGGACATTTGTGTAATTAACATAACATTTAAACTATTCGATATCAAAAGTCTTGAGGCGTTAGTGCAGCGTTTCATAGTAGGCCTGTCTCCACGTTGTGCTCCGTTCCCAGGGTGCTCGGGTCAAAGTTCAGCTTCATCTCGCCAGCCAACACAATCTCCGATATGCAGCCCACGATGCCGCTATAGTAGCGCCGATGCGTAAAATATCCCACATCCGGCATTCCACCTAAAGTAGAAATACAAATTAAATACATCGATTTTAGTGGTCTCCATATCTGGAATATATCCTCCATCCAATCCTCCATATGCAATACATACCAACATATAGGCCAGTATCTGTATTTAGTTGACGCAGTTTGCCAGGAGCTCGCTGCGTGGACGTTTTGCGGCCATCGACCTCTAGATAACCCTCCTGTGAGTTCCTGTATAAAATCAATCATCAGTACACCGGCTCACAACTGAGAGATCAATCAAGCTATCCTTACCTTATGGCTCTCACTCGATGCCACAGGCCATCGCTGACCTTGGTGCCATTGAAGCGAATGTCCACCTCCCCAGAGCCCAAATCGTAGCGGAAGTGCAAGTATCTGGAATGACAAATCAATGGATAAATTGGTACTCGGCGGATCCCAATCCCAATCCCAGACCCCACACTAACCCCTTCTCAATGCCCAGCGACAAATAGTCGTCGTGCTCCTCCGTCGTTCCCTGCCGGCCCGTCCACAGTATGACGCCGTTCTCCGAGTGCGTCTTGATGCGCAGGTTGAGATCAATGTTGTAGCTGATGACCTGGCTCATGGTGTCCGCATCGTTGTAGTGGAAATAGCTGTCGGCGCCGGCGAAGCAGGCCCCAAAGTTCTTGCGCACTCCCTGCACCTGCGACTGATGCTCCGCGGAGAGGTCGAACTTCTTCAGCAGGCTCCAGTCCGTGTGGGTCTGTGGCGTGGTGGGGGCATGGCTCTCTAGATGAACTTCCAGCTCTGAATGTAGCACTGGCGACAGCAGTTCGTCGTGGTCGTCGTCGTCGTCCTTGTAGTCGTCCCTGTACTGCGCTGTCTCGCTTGAGGAAGCCCCGCTGGGCGCCGGTGCTGCCTGTGCTTCGGGCCCCGCCTTTTTGTGGCTGCTGTGCGTATTCGAGTTGGACATGATGCGCTTCATGTCCTCGTTCAGCTGCTTCCTCTGATAGTCCTCGGTCCCGTCCGAGGCATCGAACAGGGACTCGTCAAAGACAAAGGCATTGCTGTCGTCCTCCCCCGACGTACCCGGACCCGCAACCGCACCACCCTGGCTCTCCTGGCTGTCCTGTGTGTTCTGGCTGCTGGTTGCCATTGCATCGGCGTACTCCTGCTGCTGCAGGCTGGCCACCCAGTCGTTGTTGTCCTCAAAGGTGAGAATGTCGCTGTCCGGATTCGTCTGGAAACTTTCATAGTGGGTGGGCAGGCGGCTCAGCTTGTGGGCAAAGGCTGCGTTGGGCTTCTGGTGGTGCTCGTGCTTGCTCACTTGATGCTTGCTCGAGTGCTTGGCCATGGCCAGAGCTGGAGCTGGAGCTGAAGTTGGGGGTGCCTGTGAATGTGGATGTGCAGCAGGAGGTGAAGGAGTCTGCGGCTGTCTCTTCCCTGGCGTCAGCTGCTGCGGCTGCTCCTGCTCCTGCTGCTCCTGCTGCTGCTGCACAAAGCGGAATATGATATCATCTTCGATTTCCTCATTGCTTAGAGCCCCTGCTGCGGCTGCCTCATCATCCGTCGCCCGTGGGGCTGTGGGGTGGGGCTTAGCTGTGGTTGTGCTTGTGCTTGTGGTGCTTGTGGCAGCGATGGTGGTGGCAGTTGGCTTATGCAAATTCTTGCGCTTCTTCGAGTGCTTCTTGTGCGCCAGCACCGAGACTTTCTTGGGCACGGCCTCCTCCCTTTCCCTCTCCCTTTCTCTTTCTTCGTCTACGTCTCCATCTCTGTTGTGCTTGGTCTCGAGAACCTTGGACTTGTGGAGAGCCAGCTCCGGCAGCAGTTCGGGCGGCACTTCGGCTGCCTTGTTGCAGCGCTCGTTGTAGATGCTGCAGCGGCACTCGTAGCTCTCCATCTGCGGCACACACTCCGCCAGGGGTCCGCACGGCCGGGCCACACAGGCGTGGGGGCAGTTGCCAATGTTGCTGCCCCCCAGTGCCTCAGACACAATGCCCAGCGAGTGGCCATTGATATCAATCTGTGGCGCAAAGAAAAGAGAACATTGCAGAGTGGAATCTGTGTGGAATCAGGCTCACTTACCCTTTGAATGCAGCCCACAAAGAAGGGCTTGTACTTGAGGTCCAGCGGCAGGCGGTCCACATGGTTGACGCCGCCCACAAAGAGATTCTGCTCCAGGGACAAGTGCCAGAAGCCATTCGAGGAGATGGTCATGACCTCCTGGTGCTGATCGATCTGTGGAGTGGACAGAGGAGCAACGCTATAAAAGCCATCCATAAGTTTATGGGGAATTTCCCTGACATTTACCTTGAGCACTGCCAAGCGAGCAGTCCGAGAGATCTTGATGGTGTGCCACTGGCCCATGTTGAGAGAGTACTCACTCCTGCCAAAGGGAAACCAGAGATTGAGCAACCCTTCTGCTGAGTATCAATCAATCCCACTTACCGCACCACGGCTGGTCCACTTCCCAAGTCAAAGGCAAACTCCACAAAGCCATCGTTCAGATACAGGGCAATGAAGTCGCCTCGCTGCTCCGGGCCCGAGTACAGGATGAGGCCATCCGCCTGTTCCGGCTTCAGGATAACCTTCAGCTCCAGCCAGATCAGTGCGCTGTCGCCGAGTGGCGCATACCGAAGGAACGACGAGCCATTGAAGGCGGGCACCTATCGCAAATGTTTCCTTTAGAGGCCTCCAAAAGATAGAAGTTGAGGGTTGTAGCTCACCTGCAGATCCATGCGAATCTCGCAAAGATCTCCGACATAACCAATGGGACAGAGGCAGACGGCTCCCTGGTCCGAGGGCAGGCACTTGCCGCCGTGCTGGCAGGGATAGCGCACACACTTGTCCGTGGAGCAGTCCTCTGTGTTGTTTACAGACAATGAGTTGAGCAAAGTGGAACGAACGTTGACCCGAAATGACTGTAGAACACTCACGTATATCGAAGCCATTGGTGACATCGCCCAGCGGATGCTCGGTGAACTTGTAGTCGTGCTCGTTGGCCACAAAGCGTCGAATGCAGCCGGAGAATCCCTCGGCCAGTGGCAGGCGCTTGGCCAGGCCCGTGATGTTGCCTATGCCACCCAGGAAGACAGGCTCACGGAAGGTGATGCGCGAGAATAGGCCCTGGCAAAGGATTAATTCAACAAGAAAAATGAGTTCAGGGATCAGCAACGAGAGACTCCCCCACTCACATTCGATCTGCCCTGGACCTTGGTGCCGTGATTGAGCACCAGCCAGGCATCCCAGCGATGGCGGTAGATGATCACCGAGTTCCATTCGTTCAGCATGATGGTCTCCCGCGATCGTACGCTGCCAACGCCCGAGCCGCAGTCGAACCAGAACTCCACGAATCCCTTATTAAGCAGCAGGGCCATGAAATCCCCAGTCAGATCGTCCCGTTCGCCGCTCAGCAATATGATGCCGTCAAAGGACTCTGGACGGAACTCCAGACGCAGCTGGACATGCTTGTAAGCCCCGTGAAGTGCGGCAAATGCCAGCCAGGAGCGCTTGGCAAAGCGCGGCACATGTGCCCGTATATCTGAGTGGGAGGGAACAGCAAGCAATCGATATTAGCTTCATTTCATATCCCCCCTATGAGGGTACAGCATCTCGCTCACCATCCTTGCAGCCATTGCCCGTCTTGCCAAAGGGACAAAGACAGCGGGAGCTGGCGGCGGTTGCCTCCAAGGCGCAGATGCCATCGGCTCCACAATCCAGATTGCAACTGGAACAGCGGTTCGAGAAGGTATGAAAAGATTCATTAAGTCAGTTGTCATACAGGTTCATATCTGCAGCAAAGATTAAATTGCGCTTGCCTCGGTTTCGTTTCGCAATGAGTTTAATGAGGACTCCCAAACCCCAACCACCTCTACCCACCTGGTACTAGTGCTGGTCGCTGCCACTGCCACTGCCACTGCTCCTGTAACTGCTCCCATTTCCACATTCGTTCCTGATATGTTGTTCCGATTGGGGTACACCCGCGTGATATGCATTTGAACCTTGCTGTTGGTCTTGCGGTTCTTGTTCTTGTTCTTCTTGTTGTTTTTGTTGTTTTTGTTGTTGTTCTTGTTCGTATTGCTTGTCGTCTGATATGTTTGCGATTTGCTGTTGCTGTTGCTGTTGCGTCTTAAGTTTAATTGATTATTGTTGACATCGTCGTAGATGGACATGTCGGACTTGTAGCTATAGTAGTCATCCCCACCATCCCCATCCGCACCACCGTTGCCCTGCCCATAGTCCACATCCAGTTGGTTCTGGCTGTCACTGGCTGTGGTTGGGGCGGCTCCTGTTGTGGTGGTGGTGCTGCGGGTGGTGGTGGTTGTGGTCTTAGGCGCTGCGGTGGTTCTGATTGTGGTTGTGCTCGCCGTGCTGGCCACCTTAAAATCGGCCACATCCGGCTCGGGGCCATCGCCCTCCGAATTGAAATTGATGCTCTCCGCTGATATGTAATAATCGTTTGAATTGACTTTCTGTTGCTGCTCTTCCTGCTGCTCCTGCAGCCTCGAACTGCTGTCATCGCCCTCGCTGTAGTCGTAGCTATCGCCATCCGAGTCGGACTCATCTACTCCGTTCCCGTTCCCGTTCCCATTGCCACTGGCACCTGGGCCAGCTCCTCCGCCATACGCCGCCTGGGACATCAGTTTGCTGTCATCGTTGGCCAGCTTGGCGCTGAACGAGGCTCCCTTCTGATAGAGGACATCCTCGTCGGACTTGCCATGGCCATCGGATCCATTTCCCGTCGAATTAATAACTGCAAAGCGGGCAAGTTGTTACGAAAATTTGAAAAATAATGCAATTTAAAGTGTTGGAATGCAGCTTCCATAAATGTCTCGCATAGCCAAATAAATTTCAATGCATTTTGTAAACAATTAAAATGTATTGTTGAAAAATGATCTGTTTCATATTTAAGGGGATATTTCTTTGTTTGCATTGGGATAGCATTTGCTTACTTTGTTGCCCCTTCAGACCCTCAATTACTAAAACATTTTAATTGCTTTACAAACTCTCAAATTGGCCAACTGTCGAGTGCAGAAATGCGAGTATACTGCTGGCTAGATATGCCCTTCTAAAATATTAACTATTGCATATTTCGCAGCTCGTATTTCGTATATTTATTTGACATCACGTAGCAATTGTTGCAAAACTGCCGAAAATGAAATGGAAAATACACACGAGCAGATAGAGTGGAGCAGCATGCAACAATATCAATTTGCCGTGGCGCCACCAATACGCATACACGAGTATCCGGCTGAGCAATTTCAAAATAATAATTCAACAACATAAATGCATCCAAAGCAAATAATAACACAGGTCGAACGGACACAAACGCTACACCCAACCCAAACCGATTCGCTGGGCATTACCCATCCATTATGGGACATTTCCCGGACAATAACTGAAATGGCAAATCAATTTGGGGCTAGGCGGCTCGAGGGGGGTTCGCACCTTGACAGCTGTAACCGTTCTTGCTCAGCTCATAGCCCTCGATGCAGTCGCACTCGTACATCCCGTCGTGGATCTCATAGCAGAGCTGCTCGCAGGGACTGGTGTGGCCGCAGTGACCTGTAACGGGAGGGAGAAGGGCGAAAGAGGAAAGCAGCCATTAGCATTTGGGGTGAGCCGTACTCCATATATGTAGATGTATGATAGGGTGTCGCTCTGGGCTGGGTCTGGGGCGTAGTTCTGGTCGAGCCGAGTTCAGTTCATAATTTCAGTCCATTTTAGTTCGAGTTGAGTGTCCTGCGTGTCCAAGTCCAGGTCTGTGGCTGTCCGAGTGGATGGGTGGAGGGTGGATGGGTGGGGTCCTTCTCTGGGTGTGACCGACGTGTCCGCAATAAATTCTAATAAGCTTTAAGGACTTTGGGCCTGTTCTGGTCTGGTCTGGTCTGTTCTGCGTATCCTGCTTCTGGTCTCCGTTCTCTGGTTTCTGGTCGAGACATACGCTTTTGGTAATTTACTGCCTCGCACTGGCAACATTTCAAACCCAGTCGGAGGGCCCTGCCTACCCACCCATCTACCTACCTTCCTTCTATCTACAACTCCAACTGTTGAGCCCTAGCCGAACCTAATGACTACTTAAATAACTAGGGAGGGAGGTGGATGGTGTACATTTTCGATAGATATTTGAGCCCAGGCAAAGGGCTGTGCTGTGCTCTCTGTTCGATTGTAATTTGAATGCAAATTTCTAGGAAAATGCGAAATCAGAGGCATTTGTGTAAATGCATTTCACTTGACACCGAAAAGTGTGCCACCACCTCATGCTGAGGCGGAAAGAAAAGTAAAACATTACTGGCATTACGCATACGCCCGAGTGGCCCCGCCACTTACGTCATACATTGTATTAAATGGAACGAACTGGCACAAACACACACACAAAAACCCATTCCAGCAGTGGATGGGGATGTAGCTGAAGATGGAGACGGAAGACACGAACACGTCAGCTACTCTGTTAAAGTGCCATCAGGAGAGCCAGTGGGGGCCATGGGGCATGGGGCATGGTGCAGACACGCTCAGACACAAGCTCATGCATGCATGCAGGCTTGCTAGTTGATTAAGCAACTGTGGGGACGATTAAAGTGCACTGGACACTGAAGCATACAGCACACACACACACACACACACAGATTTGCATATGCACACACAAGTGACAGTCCCTGGTCCCGGGTCCCTGGTCCCTGGTCTCTCTCCATCTCTGCCAGTGGAACTGCCTCTGCCTCTGCCTGTGGCATGTGCATTGCGTATTCAAATTGAAATTGAAAAATTGCATTTTGTATGCAATTGAAATCGAAGTGTCAGCAGCACACATCAGCATCTACATCGGCTTCAGAATCGGCCCATCAACTGTTGATGTCACTCCCCAAAACGTGACTGAAAATTCGTCAAACAAAATTCCCATTGCATAACATGCATGCCATCTCTCTTTCGCTCTGTTTCCCTCTCTACTTTTCTATGTGTCTGCCTCTACCACACGCATAATTAAGTTGCTCATTAATGTCAAAGGCCGGGGTTCTGGTCACACAATGGGTCGTCGTTTATTGATATGTCAGGGCGCAGAGCCCTCCACTTCAGTCGTCTCTCCAGGGCTCTCTTCAAAATTGAAATACCAATACCGAATACCAGAATTTCCGCAATTAGACACCTGCGTGAGGGAGGGGAGGGGTGGCGAGAGGGGCCCAAACGGAATCAAATGTCATACGCACCTTGAAAGGCCGCCTCCTCTGGCTCCACAATGGCACTGACGGTGGCGCTGGCTGTCGAGAGGAGCAGGAGCCACACGAACCCCGCTCGATAATGATGATGTTGATGCTTTGAAGTGGACATGATGCTCTCCTTGCTCTCCTCTCTCTTCGGTTGGGTTGGCAGTGGTCCACAGGTGTGCTCAATGGCTCGCAATGCCTGATATGTGCTCCTCTTTTCTGTGGCGATGTGGGTTATGATGGGTGGCACCTCAGTTCAAACTGGGCTCCCAGTTTCGTTGCTGGTTCTGATTCCGATTCCGAGTTTGGCCATCAGCCAGCGGCGAGCATTTAGCGTGCATGCGTCTCGACGTTGCCTCAGCGACTGTTGCTCGGCCTCTGCTAGTGCTGCTGCTGCTCCTGGTGCTGCTGCTGCTACTGGAAAATACACACACACACACAAACAAACAAACAAATAGGCGACACAAGCGCGCAATTAGTAAACGTAGCCGAAAAGCGGAGGCAAAGCCAAAAGCAAATCAAGTGGTCATTATAATATAACCGCAAATTGCTAAACACGCAATGGGCAAATGGAACATCGCGCCAAGGAGCAATCAGCTCTGCGGTGGGTATTGGCCATTAGGTGTGGGCATGGGCCATGGGCCGTGAGTTCCCTTGGCTCCATGATTCATGGCATTAGTAAAATCAATAGGGACTGCCATGGCAACGGCGCCACAACAAATAGACACAGCCCTCAATTTTGGTGTGGCATCAAAACCCCAAACCCAAAACCCGATCCCAAACCCAATCCCAACCACTCCCATACCCACCCACCACTCGTATCAACGCCCACTCATAGTGGCATGCCACCTGGCGTCCTACCTTAAGCCAAATATACGTACGTACGTACCTACTGTGGAGGACAAGTAATTAGAAATCAATATGTCGACAATTCGGCAGAGTGTGCAGCCCGTGCCCCTGCCCCTGCCCCTGCCCGTGCCCGTACCAATCGAAACACAGACAGACGTAATCCTACTCGCAGTTTTGTGTGGAAAAATCGAAATCAGAAACGGATAGACTGGATTTGGAGGATTCTTTTTTTACTTCAGCCACCTGAAAATTGAAATGTCAGGTGTCCGAGATGAGAAGAATAGGCGTGGAAATGCACTTAAGCCTGGACCAGACCCACACATGTCCGGCCTGTCCTTCTTTCTGCTCTCTACTGCCACCTCTTTCGCACTGTTTCGTCCCATCTCTTTCGGTCTGCTTTAGTGGAATGTGTAGCATACTTACTGGGGCAGGCATGCAGCCGCACCATGAAACCGTTCTTCACTCTGCGGCATGGCTCTTCTTCTGCTGCTGCTGCATATGATTCTCTGCCTCCTCTGCTTCTATTTTATTGCTGCTGTTTTATTTATATATTTACGTACATACATATACGCTATGCGACTCAACTGGGGCATGTCACTCTGATGGCTCAGCTTTGGCTAGCTTTGACTCGCAGAAAACAGAGACAGAAGTCAAGGGATTTGTTGAACTAAACTATGCTGCCGATGATTGGCTTCAACCTAATTCTGAGCCGTTTGCAATGGATGCAACTAGATATGTATATCTCATCAAACAAAAGTGACTGCAAATTCCAAGGATTAATAAATAATAAACAACTTAACGTCCCATAATACAATTTCGTTAGAGCTGCCACAACAGATTGCGACCGGGCCGAGTTTTCAGCTTAATGGAGTGACAGCTTAGAGTTTCCACGAAAAGTCGGTTAGCCTTTAGCTAGCTAATATTATTACTATAATTATTATCTTTTACGGATTGGGACTCTTAAGTATACATTCCAATAAGTTCTTTAAACTGACTGCATGACGCCATTTGGCATCTGAATAAAGTATTCCAGCTGACTTGGCTTGACCATTGGCAACAGCACCCCGTCTCCTGCTAGTGTATTCCATCAATCGCTGCGACAGCCAATTTTGAACTATATGTTTGTAGGTACATATTTTTTATGGCAATTTTCATTCCCCTTGCCCCTTCAAATTGCGCTGACGGCCCTAGGCCGCGCTTTGCGTTGGTCCTTCTATTTCACTTTTTTTTTCTCCTTTCTGTAGTTGATGCGTGTGTCAGTGTCAGTGACTGTGTGTGTGTGTGTCTGCCTCTTTGCCTCTGCGAGTGTGTGTGTGTGAGTCAGAGTCGGAGGGCAGGTGCTGCGGTAATGGGGCTCTTTGGTTGTGCGTGCAAAAAAAAGTTTGCCGTTTATTATTTTTTATTCGTTCCACGTTAGGGCTGAAAAACCCATTCGGTAACTGTCTCAAGTTGGGATTTTCTTCTTCATTTTTGTTTTGTTTTTTTTTTTTTGGGGAGGCCCACCAAATGTTGCCGTATTCATTTTATATCGATTTTTCCACCTTGGCTATGGCTACGGCTATGGCTATTTACGCCGCCAGACTGGCACACACACACAATCAAACAACTACTCACACGCAGACATATAGACTTATAGACATGTTCTGCAGAGGTTGACATACTACTCTTATCCCCCCCATCCACATTTCCCATGCTAGCAATTCCACTCTGTGGCCACTCTCTCTCTCTCTCGTTCTCTATGCTTTATACATATGTATATGCATGTATGTATGTATGTAATTCGTATTTCTTTCATTGGGGATTTTATTCTTACTCTACTTTTTTTCCTTTTCCGCCTTTGTTGTATTTTTTTTTTTTGCATTTTTATTGCGTTTTTAATGGCATTCCTTTCCGGTACGACGCCTCCGAATGGCCAGCAAATGTTGAAGGCTGTCGCCTGGTGCGGTGCAGCCATAGAGAACCCAGGAGTTTGCATGTGCAAAATTGCATGCCAGCCACATGCATGTGTGTGTGTGTGCAAGTGGGCGGTATGGAAATCTCATTATTCAGGTAAATGCTGCTGCTTCACAAAAACGTGCGCTCATTTGGCTGGAAAATGTGTGTGTACGCCATGCAATGCCGCAAAAACTTGCCACTTGAGCGCTGAGTGGCTTCGGAAACTAATTAAAACACATTGCCATCGAACTTAATAGACAGCACACCCCCAAATACCCATAGCCATAGCCATAGCCATACTCATGCCAAAAATATCCTGGAGTCCATAAAGAAAACTTGACGCCTCGGCCCCGATAAAGTTGATCAACCCAATTAGTCAGCTAATGGACAAAAATGAATGCTTAGACTGGCATTGATTTGATTGCACAATTAAGTGTTCATCGCTCTGAAGACTCATGGCTTTTGAAGACTGAATGGATCTGTACTTTGTCATTTATCACAGATTAGCCTAACAGCGGGCGACGCGACTCCTGACTCCTGACCAACTCCTCCGAGAGTTGAGCGACTGGTGAGCTCTGGTATAAGCTTTTTGGGGGGCTTTTGGGTGGCGATCCAGATTCAGCCCATCGTAAATTCAAAACTTTTGCACCCTGCACCCGAGTGAGGAACGTGACCACAAAGTGAAGGGGAATTTTCATGGGATACGAGTAACGTAACGTAACGTAACATAACCCCGGGTAGATTTTCCCGGTCAGAACAACTGATAAAATGGAAGCTGCTCGAAAAGTTTTCATAGCCAGAGATATGCTGAAAACACACACACAGAACTATGCAGCTGGCTGAGTGAAAGTGGTAACTGAATTATTTGCAGGGATATTTTCAACAGTTTCTGAAATGCATACAAAAAGTGGTGGGAGCAAGAGAAAATCCCATTCCCATTGCCATTGCCATTTCCATTCTCAAGGGGGGCTTTGTGCACGGGAAAACCTGCTCGGCCAGGGCTCGGCTTTTTACTTCAATTATTTAGACGTTTCACTCGATTGTGCGGCTGCTTTATTGATTCGAAAGCAGAACAAGGCCAAACAACTACAAAATGGCGAGTATATCCCGGACAGTCTGTGAGTGGCTCCAGCTCCAGCTCCTGCTCCAGCTCCAGCCCACTGATGTCACTTCACCGATGGCAAAAAGTTTATACAGAAAGCCAATAATAGGAAAGCCCCAGCACTACTCGTAAAACAGCAACAATAACCACAATGCAGAACAGAAACAGGAGAGTGAGGGAGAGGTAGAGGCAGAGACAGAGGCAGAGCAAGCGGAAAGGCTAAGTTGGAATGAAACAAAACAAAGCAACGGGAAAAAAAAGAGAACGCGAGAGCGAGGAAAAAGAAATGCTGGCGAACTGAAACTGTAGCAAAACACAAAGGGAAGCGAAACCGTTAAGGCAGCAATAAATTGTGTTTTTATAAGGTAGGTAAATAGAGCACAAAATCCGTGGAGAGCCAATTGGAGGGGAGTACGGAGTACGAGTAGCAACCACAAAATACACACACACAAACACAAAAACCAGGGGGGGAAGCTGTGCAGACGAGGATTTATCTTCGGGGGGTGGGGTGCACGCATCTCATAGACAGGCCCCGACCACGACTTTCGGACTCACCAAATGACAAGAATATAGAACAAACCAAATAGAAACACTGGACACAGTGGACACAGGCTAATTAAGCTTATTAAGAGAGCAATTTATATAAATAAAATCTGCAAGTGCATTTACACTAAATATATAGTCTGTGTAATATATACATATGTATATATATAACGTAATCCGGGACAACTGAGAAAGAACTTTATTCGATCCCAAACAAGTCCAGGGTCCATCATGGAATGAAACTCAAGCACTACTGAGACAAATGGAGTAACAAATTTGCAACAAATTTGCAACAAATTTGCAACAAATTTTTCTTGTTTCCTTAGTGCTTTTGGGCAACAATTATGCACTAGCTATACATATAGAACATGTTCATTGGGCGATCATAATACCTTTTAAAATTGCTCTACAGCTGAGTCGCAATTAAAGATCTTAAAGAATCTTCCCTCAAAAGAGATTTCAGCAAAATTGTATATTACAAGCTCGTATCAAGCCCCAATTTGTATCAAACTTGTTTCTATGCCAGAACGGGACTCTTTTAACGCTTTGAGCAGCCCCCAAAGGCAACCAATTAAAATGTTGGCCCTCGCAGGAGCTTCCACTGTTGGAGGCTTGAGGTTTGGCGCGTTTTTCTGCTGGTTGCTGCTGCTCCTGCTGCTGCCACTCCCGCCTTGGCATTGAGTGCTTAAATATCTGTTGGCCATGGCAATATCGCACATTCGCATACGAGTCTGGGGCCTAATTTATGGCAAATTCGCAGGTGCGCGCTTTACCAAGAGAGCTGTCAAAGAACGCGCTACAACGAAATGGCAACAAAACGGGAAAGCGGCGGGAAAAGCGCCAGCAAAAATGAAAGCAAACGAAGTTGAAGAAGAAGATGTAGAAGTAGAAGTAGAAGCAGGGAAAAACACCGTTGGCCAAAGCAATTTCCCAGCAAAGGACCAAAGGACTAAAACAAAAGCAGACACACACACACAGCAGGAGTGGGAGTTGAACGTGAAGTGTGTGTGTGTGTGGGTGTACTGGAGTGTGTTAGTGTGTTGAAATATGTGTGTGTGTGTGTGGTAGGGTGGAAGAGAGCAAACACCAAAGGGAATTCTTGTAACGCTGAAAAAGGGGAACTCCCATAGACTTTTCAACAGCACCGAGATGTGAATGAACTATTAATTATCAACATCAAAAGCACCATTATGCATCATAGTCATCACTGCGTATTTTAACACCATCATCATGGAATGTAACTTTAGTTTGACCCAAAATTACAACAACTAAAAGTTTAACTCGCCACTGTGTGTGTTCGTGTAATTGGGTGTGGGTGAGCACTTGGCCCCACTTGAAGTGGGGGCCACTTTCCCTTCGGTGCTTCTGGCCCCTGCCCACATAAATTTCCATTATTTTACGTTTTCTGGAACTGTAAACTACGTACAACAATAACGGTACTTACTCGCTCTGTTTCTGTTTCGGTTTCTGTTGCTCTTTCTGGGCAAGTTCCGTTTCTCTGCCTCCGTCTCCGCTTACAGTGCCGTCCCACCAACGTCTTTCGACGTCGTCTTTGCTGATTTCTGCCTTTGGTCTGGTCTGGTCTGCTTCTTGCTCTGGTTTTATTTTTCGGCTTTCAGCGATTTTCGTGGTATTTACATTACACACGCTCCCACTCACACACACACACACAGGCACACTCTACCACTCACTCACCCGCGCACACACAAACACACACACTTGGGGGCACATTCAGCTGTCGTATAAGGCTGACTTTCACATTGCACTTGTGAATCCTCAATTGATGGCGAAAACCTTCAGTTTTCGCATACATATGAATGTATATAAATTATATAGAATTTCCACGTTTCGTTTAGTTTTCTTTTACGTTTCGTTGTCAAGTGCGTCCTCGTTGTTTGTAGAGTTATTGCCGTTTGCTGTGGCTGGGGCTGTTGCTGTATGTACGAGTATGTATGTATATGTATGTATTATTTTGGTTGTATCCTGCGAACGGATGTCGCTGATGACGGCGGCGCTGCGTTTGGTTTCGTTTTATTATACCGTTATGTTGTGGAGCGTAACGTTTTTACACTCTAATTGACGGGAGACTTCTGAGCGTATCGAAGGCAATCGAAACGATGGGAGCCCCAACGGAGCAAAGCGGAATTTGTATGCCCAACTGTGGCAGTTGCCCAAAGAGCTAGAGAGCTAGAGAGAGAGAGCTAAAGAGAGCAAAAAGCAGTCAGAAATCAAACAAAATAAACCACCCATGGTAAGTTAACAGGACTGAGAGCTACAGCGTAAGCGCGGGAGAGAGCTTCCTGGGCTAACCTAACGGTTGGACGATTATCCGGGCATATGTAAAGCGGCGCCAATTCAATTCTGTGCTGGCTTTTGTAGCTAATAGGGTTGCCAGGGACTACTAAAGTTAGTTTAGGCTTGAAAAAGTTGAAGAAATTTTGGAAAAGTTGAAGAAAAGCTTTTAACAAATAAACTCTTTTTATATTTTATATGTTATATGCTGTACTGATTATAATTCGGAGCGAATTTAACATTTAAGGCACACCTGACAGCTCTCAATGGCCTCTCAAAGTCGGTAGAAACGTTTTCTCTCTCAGATATTGCTGCTCTCGCTCTCGCTCTCTCTTTGATTGTAATGCGCATGTGTAAAACGTTCCGGGCTTACAACAACATGAACGTTGAGAGAGCTTTCGTGGGCAGTGGAAGAGAGATGGAGGCATGGACTGGACCAAGGTATATTCATGCAAGGTGTGACATTCCCGTCACTGTCCTATGGAGCACAGCTATCCTTTGAGCTCTTTCTGGCCACACCACAACTTGCATTAATGTAACTTGCACTTGTCCACTGTTAAACAACAGCTGGTTGTTGGCGCTACCATCAACATAACAGCCCAATCAACACCTACAGAGAGTAACCTACACTTTAAAGGACATAAGCCCATAATGAACTCAACGACAGGCGTGAACAAAAACAACATGAGACAGGAGACAGACGGGTGACAGGGTGACCCGGTGGGTAGGTTGAGGCGTAGGCGTAGGGATGTGTGGTGTGTGGTGCAGTGGGCAGTAAGTCAACGGCGACAGCTGATCAGGTTGCAAGGGTTGTTTGCTTGCCCCATGATACGATGCCACGATGTCAAAGGGGGTGCCTGCCGATGACCGAAAGCGGTTGAAAAAAACCATACATATGTATGAACGAAAAGGGGGAAGATATGTCCACTCCAGACCAGGCCAGACCCGGGCATGGCCTTATCCCTTTACCAATTCCAATTCCACTTCCACTCCCACTGGCCTCCATCGCCTTGGTAACCGAGACCAGCCAAGTCTGTGGCGGCTTGCTTTCGCCATTGTTGTTGCCTTGTTGTTGTTGTTGCATTGACAAGTGAACGTTACTAATGACCAAACGCCATTCATGGCCCTCGACGATGCGCCCCTGCCAAAGGAGACGACACATGTGTCTCTCTGTGTGTGTCCATGTCCTTTGTTGAAGGCTTAGCGAGTGCAGGCGTTGCACTCGCCCTGCCCCCACTCCGAGTTGCAGCAAATGAGGCATTAATATCCAGTCAGAGAACCCAAACGACCCCGAACCGACCCGTCGCATGCCTCCGGCTTCCATGTTTTCGAGTATGTCAGGGCAAATATTAGTATTCCACTTCAATGTTAGCATTTTGTAATGGAAAGTGTTGTCGTCGTTTTCGTTGTTGTCGTGGCTGCATATCCATCAGTTGAGCAGCCAAGCGCAAGTAATGTGTCACATTACAAATGTTGTTTCCTTTCCCCATTTCCCATTTCCCATTTGCCACTCTCCCCATTCCATCCCTCATGCCTCAAGTCAATGCTGGCTGCCAATAACATGCATACATACACACATACATAGATATTGTGGGTATTAACTAGACTTCCAGTCGGAGTTCGACGCGAGCACAACCATCAAGCAATAAGCCATAAGCGGCACTTTATTAACTTATCAAGCACAAGCAATAAGCAAGCAGCGGGGCGTGTGGTGTTGATGGAGAGCTGCGCTTAGTGCAGCAGCAACATTGCATTTATATGGAATACCAAGGCCAGATCGTTTATATGCTGATTATCGTGGGACTTGTCAGCCCCTTCATCATCCTGTGCCCCATCCTCGAACCAGCTGCCAATTTCCATCACATTGCGCCAGTTCAAAAACTCATTGTAGCCGAAGAGGCCGCAGATTGTTGCTGTCGTGGCAGAACGGGAGGGTACTCGTATAGATGCCAGATACAAGTGGCAGATAAGCCGGGCTCACCTTGCTCCAAATATAAATCTCGATACTGCTCGGGCAGCCCCAGGCTCCGTATGGCGTTCTGTTCGCGTTCCACCTCATTGCAATGGCTCTTGGCCAGCAGCTCGTACACCTGCGGAGGGCTCAAATGGGGGGCACACATGTGATGCTGCAGCATGTAGAGAAGAAGCACCCTGAAAGCTCGGAATCGGGGCAGGTTCTTGGTTAAGCCATTAAAGGATATACATACTGATGCGTCCTCTGGTAGCCATAGGTGGGTGCATCGCTGGTCAGCAGCTCCAGGCACTCGTGGGAAGGCAGTTTACAATTGCTCAAGTCCAGCTCCACAATCTCCCCCATGCAGAGATCTACAGGAGAGCAAGAGAGAGAGAGAGAGAGATTTGGGTATTGGTTTCCCTTGCAGCTCACCTGATTGCGTTCTATTGGGATGGCCCTCGTTGACCACATCCGCATATATGGAAGCCAGCTGCTCGTACTCTTCATTGGCATTCAATTGACCATACCTCACCGATGGAGGCAGCAGCAGGACGTTCCTCTTAAAGGCACTCTCCAGGACTGGAAGAAACATTTAAATTTGCATACAAGTGTCCCAATCGGATATACACATGTCCCCCACTCCCACTCCCTCTTCTTACTTTGTCTTTCGATGCCCGTTGCCGTTGCCATTGGCGGGGAGACACTCGAGCGGCTCTTGATGTGCTCCATCCTGTGCAGCAAATGATAGTAGAGCTGCCTTTCGAAGCGAGTGGGCGCCACGTAGCGCAGTTTCTCTGCCAACGATAAATATTCATAAATTCCCATTGTTTACGTGGGGGACATCTGTCATCTCTATCGCACATGCACGGCTCATTAGGCTCACGTTTTATCAGGAATTCGGCCAGGAGCAGGGCGAATGTGGCGCTCGCATTAAGCTTCCGGCCGCAGGACATTTTATCGAGCAGCCCGTAGATGCGCTGGGGCAGCTCCTGTTCCCGATCCGTTTCGCGGACCGCAAGCGTAGCTGGTTGCATGCAACACCCACTAATTGCAGCCAAAACCAGGCCGAGTTTCAGCGCAGCAAGCAACATGTTGTCAGCTGTAACGACAGGATTCATCTATGCCAAACTGGGTCCCGGCCACATCGAAATCACATCGCCTTTCGTCTTTGATTTCACTCCCCTTATGAAGATTAATCGTATGACATTTGTTCTGGTCGCTGTGCGTGGGCGACATCGAGTACTGCGGGATCTGGTCGCTGCCTTGTCGCTGTCCCACTGGTACACAATATTAAGTTTCTCATATTAATCACAATTTAAAACCGAATACATTACGCAGATGAAAGGATTCTGGTATCTGCGGCTGCTCCACGGCTATTGATTTTATCAGATAGCCGATGGATCTCCACCAGAGAGCCAGTTAAACCCATATATATATATATATCTTGCCAGTTTCGCTCTTCTTTTTCCAGCTGGCAGTTTACGCGCCAGTCCGTTTGAATCTCTTAGGGCAGGCAGTAACAGAGCTGTGAGCGATAACATTCGCTTGACAGCAAAATACCTTATAGCGTTTGGTCTATGCCAAAATTGGTCACACTGGATTGTCACTTTTTCTTTGTGTAATTTTTTGTAGTGAAAATCTTAAAAGTAGAAAACAATTTCAACAGTCTAACAGCAGGACACGCAACCGTTTCTAATGTCGGAGAACAAGGACGAGACCCTGGCCAGTTTCCAGGTAAAGTGCACTGCCAACCCCCCCCTGCACAAACACGAGAAACTTCTGTGATTATTTTATGCGCACATTTTCGATGCGTGTGTTCTCGTGTGTTCGCTGTGTGTGGGTGACGTTGTGGGATATTTTTCTCGGACTTGCTCAAGATTTTAATGCAAGTTTTCCTTCCCCCTTTCATGACATTCGCAGAACATAACTGGCATCGACGATGTCGGCGAGGCCTTCTCCCACCTGGAGGCTGTTAACTGGAATCTTATGGTAAGTTCTGCAACGTCACTGGCGTCTTTGTCTCGGTCTTCGCACATGCGTAATTTCAATTGCGTTGGCGTTGCTGCTTTGTCTGCTGCAGGATGCCCTTAGCCGAGTCATGCCACATGACGATGAGCCGCTGTCCCATCCCGTACAAGCGCCCCAGCCAGCTGTCCCGGATGCAGTACAGCCAGGAGCGCAATCGAACACAAACGGCTTCAGGCCACCCAGCTACGATGAGCTGCCGGGGCCATCGAATGCCAGCGCCTCCAGCTTCTTTGCATCGGGTATGAACCACAACCACAACCAGAACCAGCGGCATCGACATCCCAGTGAGTCTAAAGTGATTGCGTCGCATATACTGTACACGAATGTCATGATATATACATATACATATATCTTCTGTAGCGTCACATTTGCTAGCCCAGCTGACGTCGAGCATTAATTTGGATCCCTCCAGTCAGAACAACAACCAGAACGGCATGAATTTCAAAATACACTTCAACCATAGGCTGTTCCAAATACGATTGCCTCCAACAGCAACGATTGGTAGGTACCTCGCGCACCTGTTAGCTGTAACCGAAGGTAATCAATCCTCTCCTCTGGATTCGCTTCTTCCAGATCAACTGAAACGCAAAATTTTCGATGTGACCAATGTCCCAGTGTGTCGGCAGAACATATGCGGCTGGCCGCCATCCAAAACCAGCGATGCTCAGATAGGGGCAACACAGATTTGTAATTTAGATTTGTCGCCGGAAAACGAGCTGATACTGGTTGATATAACCGATGATGGTTTCATGGACACAGAGCCGTAAGCAGATGCAGAAATAATGATTCTAAAAACTCAATTACATTTCGCAACGTCTCACGCT